CCCTCCCACACCTAGATGTGTTTTTGGTTTGAGCCCCAACCTCATCTACCCTTCCAGAACTTTCCAGCTCTGCGACAAACCTACCTTTAAACTCATCAACAAACGATGAGCTTGGGGAATGGCGCCTGAAAGGATGGTGGAGCCCGAGAGCAAACTAAACCGAGCACTTAGGGTAGCCATAACAACCCTGTGAGCGGCAACCACCAGACACCATCACACTGAAAAAATAGTGGAAACACAGGATACTTACCACATACTTACCCTCAAGCCAAAGGGAGACAGGTGGACTGTGAGAAAAGCTTAACAAGCACTGACCAGCAGCAAAAAAAAGATGGAATGATTTGACATCCATAGCCAAGCTGTAAAATCGATCCGCCCCTGCACAAATCCCCTGGCCACCCCAAACTCACTCTGAGGGAGACTGCTGGCCAGGAATCTTGTTTCACTTTTAACTTGGCCTAAATTACATTTAGCCACATTTACAAATTGTGGTTTTCACCTTCCATGGGGAGGGTATGGATGTGTTTTGTTGCCTCAGTCAACGTTTAATGGATTTATAGTCTCTGACCTACATACTCGCACTAGCTGTTTGCCCTGCTCTTATTATCAGTGTTGTACATATATTTTACATACTGTACTTAAGTTTGCCAACTATGGTTGTGCTAGGCAGTTCCCATTACAAAACCTGTGAAAAATTCGGTAAAAGTTAAGAACAGTTCCCAGAATATATTGTTGAGTGTTTGTCAAAAGTTTGTTGGCCAACTGTCGGTTGACTGTCAGCTGTTTGTCGGCCCACTGTTGGTCAACAAAGAGCCAACATTTGGCTGACAGTTTTCATTAAATGTTTCAGATAACACTGTAAAGTGCTGGTTGACTTCAGTCAAGTTGACTGTGTTTGGCAAATGTGAGAGGGTGTAAATAAGGTACAAGGTCAGATTATATGTGTCTAAAGTAAAAATAGAATAAAAGTGTGTATATTAAATATAGAAGAGATTGTTTGTTTGTCAATAAAATTTTGTAGAAAATTGTCACTGCTCAGTTTGTTTTCATCCTCTCTAATGGCCAAACTGTTTGCAAAAAACCGTGATCTGCCAACCATAAGCTCAGGGATTTTTTTACTAATTTCTCTTTGATGACTGCAAAGCTTGTTTTGTAGGCCTTCATATTGTTATCAGCATGGGAATGTCCCGGTTCTGGTTGATAATGTTAACAGCAGGCATTTTATTGCCTGTTTAATCAAATCAATGTCCAACACAGATTTGGTGTAATAGAGAGACACCACCCAGCTGTTGGCATGCCAGTCAACTGAAATGCATGACCTGTTAAACATAGCTTTACCTATCAGACACTGTGCTGCAAGACAGTAAATGATGTACCAACACAGAGAAAAGTAAAGTAAGAATATGCATGCAAACCTAGGACATGCATTGGTATATCTTGGTGAAAGCTACTGAAGTGCAACCTACAGTAGGCCATGCAGCCACACCCAGTACTCTGGGAGCAAAGAAAGCCAAAGGCCTGTGAAGGAACGTGCAAAGTACTTACACACTGAACATCTCCCAAGCACTGCTAGATCAGACAAGAGTATTGATTGTTCTCAGCTTGCTTAGAGTTCTATCATGCAGTATTCTTCGAGTACAACTAATTATTAATTATAATGCAAATTTAAAAATTTAGTGAAACATTTACTAGAATAACTGGGCTGGGTAAGTGTCCATCAACACCTGTCAGTTACATTTTGCTAGTTATAGGATTACTCTAATTTGGTCATATTTAAAAGGATTCATTCTCTTGTGATGTCCTTGTGGAACAGACAAAGGTTACCACTCCATCAGCAAAAAAGTCTCAAACAGAGACTTTCAACACTCAAATTTTGTTCCAGATGTGATAAACTCAGACAATAGTACTTCAATATATACCACTACAATCTGGAGTAATTTCAGTTATCAGGCTGGGTGCTTGACCAATATATTGAAATAATTATTTCCTGCCCTGGATTTTTCCTCAGTCATAGTACATTAAACAAATTATAACTAACAGATATTATTCATGAATACCTTTCAATAACTTTGTGCAAAGCCAGGAGCCAAGGTTGTCTGTCCTAAAATCATAACAAAAGATATTTCTCTTAGAGACCCACCTATATTCAACCCTTTAGGTGGTCACTTACAATACAAGATATGACTTTAATATGTAATATTATTGTACGCACTATTACTATACATAGGTGAGTAAAAATACTTTGGACCACCAGGTTGACCTTGATGGCGCCTGAAAGAATCTGGAGGGTTCAATTATAATGTCATGGCATATACCTCGTCAGTGAGTGGGGTTCCTTGCTTCATTTTTGTGATGTTACCTTGTGAATGGAAATTGTCTGCATCCATGTAAGGGCATGACAACTGTCAGAAGACAAAAGAAAATAACAAATCAGCTCTACAACCTTAGGGAGACATGGTGGACTCTGACAGTTAGTGCGCTGGACTCTGAATCTAGTGGTCTGGGATTTTGGATGAGAAAGTGACTCTAGGCTCTATGTCTCTAGGCTTTTCAGTTTTTTTGGCATTTCCTTTTTCTCCTTTCCTTATCTTTTTGCTGCAGTGGTTGACCTTCTACTGGACTTGCTTCCCATTCAAGAATTCCCAAGAAAGCATCATCAAGACAGGCAGTTCTTACCATGGAGTAGCGAAGTGGTAAGTAGTTGAGGGAAATTTTGCTCCAAGTTTTTCACTCAAATTTCTTCAGCATTTTCGTGCATATTTCAGGCTCAATTGACCCTGTCACTCTGATTTGGGTATCACTGAAAAGATCTTTTCCTGCAAACTTGAGTATAAGTGATGCCAATTTTGGTCAAAGGTGATGATGTCAGAGGTGGAACGAAGGCCAATGATCGTCACAGCAAGTTACAGCACGCACAGATGTCAGTGGGTTAAAAAGCACTCATTTCAAAAATTTTTATTTTCATGATACATACAGAAAATTTATCTTTTCCAGTTTTGCTGGCTTTAAGAGATTGATGACACACAAGTGAACTAGATTTGATTAAGTTTTGAAAGTTAACTCCAAGGATTGGCTTGCAGTAATTGTGGCATCGAGGATAATCTGCAAATGACAGAAACTCAACAGAACTTTTATGAACCTGGATGTGACAAGAGATTGCCTGCTGTGAAATCAGAGTGGGAAACTACAGTTTGTTATTCAGCCATGATACTTTCCATTTCTTTATTTACCTTAGCCTAACTAAAATTCTTAACTTATATACATCAAAAGTCATTAGGCAGGGAGACCACTACAGCATAGCCAATTACAGTACAGTGAATCCCAGTCATTGAACATTAAACATTGAGCATCGAAGTTGTTGATATTGAAATGGAGAACAAATACACAAACAAACAAGCTATGGATAACACTTCAGAGAACTAGAGGATTGTATGTGTGAAAAGCCATAAATTGAGCAATGTGAGTAATTAATACACATTGCAGTTGAGGAAGCAGCACTCTCGCGGCCTTTGGCAGTAAATAAATAACTAGGGATGACAGGAACTTGTCAATGCTCAGATGGTACTTACAAATTCAAAATTATTTTTCCCTGTATCTCTGAAACTAAAAAAGATTTTTGTTCTGAATTATTTGCAAACAAAAGAGCTCAAAATTTCTTAACCAGTGAATGATTGAAAAATTTGCATTTCTACGTGAAATTCAGGTAAACTGATGCAAATATGATAATAAATAAAATGAACAATTCAGAAAATACTGCTACAAAAAATACACAATCTATTTGGTATGTTTGTTTACATCATGTATTAAAAAGGTCTCAAATTACAAATTTCCAAGACCCACCTTCTTTGCCAAAGCTCGCGCCACAGTTGTCCTATATAGAGATAATCAGAATGAGCAGTTAAAATTAATAAATCACAAACAGAGCAATCGTTGTTGTTTACAGTGCAAATCTTTTGTAAAAGCTTGGAATGAAAAGGTTTGTGGATGGTCATTCCCAATAAATAGGCATTACAAAGAAATTCGAGGCCTTATGTGTCCCATGGCACAATGAGGACCGATGATGATGATGACAATGAAATAATTTCTGATAATAAGTGGCTGGGCCTTTTCTTTGTTTAAAAGGCTTAAATTATATTTTGGTTGGCTTATTCACTATGATGGCTAGGGATGGAAACAAGCAACATTGAAGCTTTGATATTGAAATATTTAACTACTGGCAAATCAGATCATGTGCTTAAGGCATCTGCAGCCAATTGTTGATCGATATCTAGGATTGACCCTCGATCTGCACTCACTTGATATCGCAATCAACAGTTGATCGCCATCTCGATCGATACTCCGTCAACACTTGATCAACATCTCAGTTCAACAGTTGGTTGAGAGTCAACTACTTTTCACAGGCCCACCACTAAGTGTCGCTCGATAGATATGGGTCAGTCAACGTTCGGCCAACTATACCAACTGTCTAGTCTCACAAAAGTATTGATCAAGATGTCAATTGAATGTTAATTAAGTTGTCAATCGAATGTTGATTGCGTGTATTGATCCACACTCAATCACGGATACACATCATCTGGCAAATCTTCAAAATAGTACTTCATTCTTGAGATACTGTATTTTATTTCATGGAACAATCATACTTACTTTCCACTTCCACAGACTCCTGTTATCAGCACAACAACCATGTTAGAGAACAATGATGTTTTGTGCCCAGGTTACATACACTGTATCCAATCTATAACGGTAAATAATATGTGTAACATAAGATATGCCAAACAATCATTTACTGATAAAACTGCAATTTCAGTAGCTGTGAAGGCTGCAAACTGGGAAACTGGGGTATGTTTCAAAGCTGTTACTTTGACTTAACCTACCTACAGTAAACAAATTTCTGCTGAGGTTGAAAGTCTTACAGTTTCAGCTCTACTTAAAATTTACCTTCCACAAGCCACAACTTCTACTGAATATAAGGGTGTATCAACTGATAACTGTATTTACTCAAGCAATAGCACCCTAGAGTAAGTATTCATACATGACCGCAAAAGTAATAATTGGCACCAACTTTGTATAAGCACTGCACACAGAACAAATGCACAGCATTTATGTGAAACACCATTTACCCCTATGCAGCTACTTGACTCAAATAGGGGAAAAAGAGTGAAAGTTACATTTTTAACTGAGGACCAGCCTTTTTATCTTATCATTTTCAAATACAAATAAGAGTTGGTTTTTCTTGACAAAAATACTGCATTTAAATGTCAAAATATTTATTAGGTGCATTGGTGCTTTTTCAGAAATACTAAATGGAAACACAAACTGAAGTGCCATGTGTACACCTTTTTTTTACTATGGTAGTCCACCATGAATATTTTGCGTTGTTTGCAACTAAAAGGTATCCAAGGGGGAAAAAAGGTAGTGTAAAGTGACTGTTTAAATAAAGAAACTATCACAAAAAATTAAAAGAACATTCCTACCCTCTTAAGTAAAAGCAACAGCTTGACTTGTAACCTTACTGGATCTTATAAGATGCAAACATTCAAACAGACATGTAAGCAAGTGAATCTGTCTGAATTTATTACATATAACTATGCAAAAACTCCTTTTATTTGAAAACAAACATGTCTGCAATGCAGTACACAAGGTAGACTTCCTTCCTATTACAAACAAAAGGTGTTTTAATTACGGTCCTTCTTTTCCCAGACCGTAGCAGCATTTGGAGTGAAAAAAAAAACAGGATTAAGCTTTGTACTTTGACCCCCTGATAATAATATTTACTAGCTCAGCCTTGCTAGCCAAGAACAAACTATATAATTTTCAGCAATTTTAAAACGTTACTGCAATTTTTACTATTATCATTTCATGTGACTGACATAAATAGGGTCGAAACTAGTAACCCTAGCTTATAAATGATATTGTAACATGCAACTTTCCTAGTGCACTTGTATTTTTTTTTCACCAACACCTGACAAATACTTCCTTTTACCATGGCCATCACCTGTCCAGCTACTTTCATTGTGTTTGAATGTAAAGCATTAAATGTTTTGCATTTAAATTTTGTAATAGTCACTTCACAATAGAGTTCAGAAGGTTATGTCTCAATGACCCCCAGAAAGTTGTGACCCCTTGAAAGCTGCAAGATAAAATTTGATGACTTTTTTAAAAGTAAAAAGAGCAGGAAAAAACACTCAGGTCTGATTTCCTGAGGCAAGTAGAATTTTCTCTTGGGTGAGTGAAAATACACAGTGGTGCAGCAGACAAGTAAAATCTGCCTCAGTAGTCGTTCAAGTCATGGTGAAAAATGTTAGCTTGATAAATTTATGATAATTTCAGAGCAACTACACAATACAGGGCCACTTTTGAAGGTGCATATATTTAGTGGCTCATTTGGCTCGGCAGTGGATGAAGGATGAGGAATAATCTATATGCGTTAAATACATATACATACATTTTATTGTGTTTTAAAATTAAAAATACAATTATAACATGCCTGCACATAGCTGAGCTAATCTAGGTGGGTCATGTCCTATCCTAGGTCTATATATTTAGTGGCTCATTTGGCTTGGCAGTGGATTAAAAAACGAGGAATAATCTGTTTATGTGTCAAGTCCTAGGCCTATATATTAAGTGGCTTGTTTGGCTCAGCAGTGGATGACAAAGGAGCAAACGAGCCATACAAGCTGGCTCATTTGGTGGATGATTAAAAGTCACCCTGTATTCTGTAGTTCCTGTCAGAAACTATTTCAATTATCAAGACTGCAAGATGATTTGAAAGTATGAATTAATTAAAATCCGAGCATACTTTGTTTGTGTTTCTCCTACGATTGCCATCATATTGGCTCTATGCTAGTAAGTAAAATTTCAATGGTGACAAGTGAAAACTGAAATTTACTGGCCTATTGGGCAAGATTTCAATTTTTTTTCCTACCCTGGTAAATCCCAAGAGCAGTGACCATTCAAAAGTAACAACCCTCTAAAACTTATGACACTGAGTCTATAGTTCATTGTTGCCTGTATAACAGAAATAATGGGAAGAGAAAGGAAGAGAGGGGAGACTGGGAAGGAGGCAATAAGGCACACCTGCTATAGGAGCTCTTTCTTTAAGTTAAAGCCTTATAGCATTCAGATAAGCGTTCTCTTCAAATGAAAGGACAGCCAATGGATGCATACAATCTAGACCTGCCTTGGCAAACAGCTGAAACCAAGGGAATAACAACATACCATCAACAGTGTACCTAGAGTGTCTAACCTAAACCATGCCATCAGAAGAAACAAACTCAATTCCACAGAATATGCAACAATAATATTACTATATTGCTCTCTAATAAAAGGACTTACAAATGGCAAAGGGCTAGGGATTGACTCCATCACAGCCGAGTCATTGAGAGCAAGTTTAGAATTTTCAGCGGAGAAAATGCATTAATTGATGATAAAGATATGGAACCATGAAAGGATCCCTGAGGCTTGGGCTTATTGTTAAACTGGTAAAGAAAGGTAATCTAAGGGAATGCAAGAACTCAAGAGGGATAACATTGCTGTCTGTTGTAGGGAAGATACTAGGTAGGATTATTATAGATCAAATAAGGGGAGGAGTTGACAGACGATTAACGGTCGGAAATGGTGAGAACAGCATTACATGAAGGACAGCATTAGATGGAGGTTAATATCCAAACTTGACGACTTAGATTTCACAGATGATATAGCCTAATTCCCTCTACCAAACAGCAGATTCAGAATAAAACAACAAAGATGGAAGAAGACAGACAAGTGGGGCTTAAGATCAATACAGAAAAGACAAAAATGACGAGGATCAATGCAAGAAACCAAGACAAGACTGTTTTAAAATAAATGGATATTGAGGACATTGATGAGTTCACATGCATACTTGGGAGCGAAAGTGTGTAAAGAAGGAGGTGCAATAAAAGACCTTACGAACAGACTATCCAAAGCAAGAGGTGCATTCATCAGATTGAAGAACATATGGAGTTCCGAGAGACCCAAGACAACCTTGAGATGAACAGTAGAAAAGGAAGGGGAAGAGGCAGGGTAGAGCTCATGGGAGGAAATGAGAATGATCGCAGCAGACCAAGAAAACTGGAGAACTTCTGCAAAAGGCCCTATGTGACACGAGGCACAAGAAGGACAGATGCTAGATGCTAGATGCTCTTACTTATTTTGCTCCCTCTTCTAACACTTTACAGAAGAAACACACCTTAGGTGGATGATAATTTGTGTTTGCCAGTAAACGATGATATATCTGTGTAAAGCCAACACTATTATGCAGAGATGTACACCCTCGTTTCTGACTGATGAATGTATTGACAGTTGACATGATCGGATTACTTGGAAATTGGCCACATAATGCAAATCCTGCTTCTTGTCACATTTTCACCTCCCTTTCCCTTCCCTGTTCATAATTGCTGCACAGGCTAATTTACTGAAATGACACTCTGTATACATGCAGCTTCTTAATTATGTAGTAAATAATGTAAACAAAGTAGGAACGCAGAATACAAAGAACTGTTTCACAGAATTTTGATTGCAAAAAGTGTTGTCCACCATCATTCTGTTATTTAAGTAGATTGGCCCATAAAAAAGACAGTTCATGTACAGTACTAGCTGCCCTAAAGTAGCAGTCACAAAAGGATGGGTAATAAAAAGTGGATAGATAAAAAGTACGTAACACACGTCAGCATTTTACAGAGAGGGCACGTGAACCATCAACATTTGACGTTTTTTGTACCTTTTTTTAGTGACTATGGGACGAAGGTGCATCAAATTAAGAAGAGTATTTAGCGTTTTTACACCGGAAATTGCTAATCTGGTACATTTACATAAAGACCCTTCATTCTAAAGTCACCAAAAAACATGTACAAAAAAAGGCAAGGGGTGCATGGTTTAAGTGTCCTTCCTGTAAATACCAGCTCCGATTTGTACATGCATGGTTGAGAAGTGGCTTAATTAGAATGTGCAGTAAGAATCTAAGAGTTGGAAGTTTAATAGATTTAAATCCATGCTCTTCATTCCAGGAAGCATGGCTAGGTTCCATAAGACTTGGAGGGGAGTTCTTATGATATCAACACGTGGTGCTCTATTTCTTTCAGATTTAGCTCACACTGCCAGTCACCATGTCATATGGTTACCATCAGAAGAGAGGGAAGCTAATATATCTGAATTTTATACAGGAGAATAGAAAACCATTTTTTGGCAGATTGTTCATGTACAGCAGGTACCTGTACTTTAGGAAGGTACATGGCCAAAACTATCTGGGAAGTGAGGGCAACATGTGCAATCTGAAGACTTTGTTATGTCTGAATTGAAGTAATAACGACAGTGGTCTTCATTAAATAACTTAATCAATAATTCAATATGACGGCACCGTACATACTACAGTTATATTTTGAATTTAACTCCCATGGAGCACTTTTTCATGGAAAAACTCTGGTTTTCTTCAAGAGAGCAAAATGCTTGCCAAATGTGAAAATTCCTTTAGAAAACTTGTATGAATACTGGCTCAAGGAAAGGAAATAATTTATGATATTGCAGACGAGAACGTCAAGTGAGCTTGTATTTGTGCCTCATTCCATGCATGATAATTCTCTTCAAATCACGACAAAATATTATTAATTATAATGCAAATTTAAAAATTTAGTGAAACATTTACTAGAATAACTGGGCTGGGTAAGTGTCCATCAACACCTGTCAGTTACATTTTGCTAGTTATAGGATTACTCTAATTTGGTCATATTTAAAAGGATTCATTCTCTTGTGATGTCCTTGTGGAACAGACAAAGGTTACCACTCCATCAGCAAAAAAGTCTCAAACAGAGACTTTCAACACTCAAATTTTGTTCCAGATGTGATAAACTCAGACAATAGTACTTCAATATATACCACTACAATCTGGAGTAATTTCAGTTATCAGGCTGGGTGCTTGACCAATATATTGAAATAATTATTTCCTGCCCTGGATTTTTCCTCAGTCATAGTACATTAAACAAATTATAACTAACAGATATTATTCATGAATACCTTTCAATAACTTTGTGCAAAGCCAGGAGCCAAGGTTGTCTGTCCTAAAATCATAACAAAAGATATTTCTCTTAGAGACCCACCTATATTCAACCCTTTAGGTGGTCACTTACAATACAAGATATGACTTTAATATGTAATATTATTGTACGCACTATTACTATACATAGGTGAGTAAAAATACTTTGGACCACCAGGTTGACCTTGATGGCGCCTGAAAGAATCTGGAGGGTTCAATTATAATGTCATGGCATATACCTCGTCAGTGAGTGGGGTTCCTTGCTTCATTTTTGTGATGTTACCTTGTGAATGGAAATTGTCTGCATCCATGTAAGGGCATGACAACTGTCAGAAGACAAAAGAAAATAACAAATCAGCTCTACAACCTTAGGGAGACATGGTGGACTCTGACAGTTAGTGCGCTGGACTCTGAATCTAGTGGTCTGGGATTTTGGATGAGAAAGTGACTCTAGGCTCTATGTCTCTAGGCTTTTCAGTTTTTTTGGCATTTCCTTTTTCTCCTTTCCTTATCTTTTTGCTGCAGTGGTTGACCTTCTACTGGACTTGCTTCCCATTCAAGAATTCCCAAGAAAGCATCATCAAGACAGGCAGTTCTTACCATGGAGTAGCGAAGTGGTAAGTAGTTGAGGGAAATTTTGCTCCAAGTTTTTCACTCAAATTTCTTCAGCATTTTCGTGCATATTTCAGGCTCAATTGACCCTGTCACTCTGATTTGGGTATCACTGAAAAGATCTTTTCCTGCAAACTTGAGTATAAGTGATGCCAATTTTGGTCAAAGGTGATGATGTCAGAGGTGGAACGAAGGCCAATGATCGTCACAGCAAGTTACAGCACGCACAGATGTCAGTGGGTTAAAAAGCACTCATTTCAAAAATTTTTATTTTCATGATACATACAGAAAATTTATCTTTTCCAGTTTTGCTGGCTTTAAGAGATTGATGACACACAAGTGAACTAGATTTGATTAAGTTTTGAAAGTTAACTCCAAGGATTGGCTTGCAGTAATTGTGGCATCGAGGATAATCTGCAAATGACAGAAACTCAACAGAACTTTTATGAACCTGGATGTGACAAGAGATTGCCTGCTGTGAAATCAGAGTGGGAAACTACAGTTTGTTATTCAGCCATGATACTTTCCATTTCTTTATTTACCTTAGCCTAACTAAAATTCTTAACTTATATACATCAAAAGTCATTAGGCAGGGAGACCACTACAGCATAGCCAATTACAGTACAGTGAATCCCAGTCATTGAACATTAAACATTGAGCATCGAAGTTGTTGATATTGAAATGGAGAACAAATACACAAACAAACAAGCTATGGATAACACTTCAGAGAACTAGAGGATTGTATGTGTGAAAAGCCATAAATTGAGCAATGTGAGTAATTAATACACATTGCAGTTGAGGAAGCAGCACTCTCGCGGCCTTTGGCAGTAAATAAATAACTAGGGATGACAGGAACTTGTCAATGCTCAGATGGTACTTACAAATTCAAAATTATTTTTCCCTGTATCTCTGAAACTAAAAAAGATTTTTGTTCTGAATTATTTGCAAACAAAAGAGCTCAAAATTTCTTAACCAGTGAATGATTGAAAAATTTGCATTTCTACGTGAAATTCAGGTAAACTGATGCAAATATGATAATAAATAAAATGAACAATTCAGAAAATACTGCTACAAAAAATACACAATCTATTTGGTATGTTTGTTTACATCATGTATTAAAAAGGTCTCAAATTACAAATTTCCAAGACCCACCTTCTTTGCCAAAGCTCGCGCCACAGTTGTCCTATATAGAGATAATCAGAATGAGCAGTTAAAATTAATAAATCACAAACAGAGCAATCGTTGTTGTTTACAGTGCAAATCTTTTGTAAAAGCTTGGAATGAAAAGGTTTGTGGATGGTCATTCCCAATAAATAGGCATTACAAAGAAATTCGAGGCCTTATGTGTCCCATGGCACAATGAGGACCGATGATGATGATGACAATGAAATAATTTCTGATAATAAGTGGCTGGGCCTTTTCTTTGTTTAAAAGGCTTAAATTATATTTTGGTTGGCTTATTCACTATGATGGCTAGGGATGGAAACAAGCAACATTGAAGCTTTGATATTGAAATATTTAACTACTGGCAAATCAGATCATGTGCTTAAGGCATCTGCAGCCAATTGTTGATCGATATCTAGGATTGACCCTCGATCTGCACTCACTTGATATCGCAATCAACAGTTGATCGCCATCTCGATCGATACTCCGTCAACACTTGATCAACATCTCAGTTCAACAGTTGGTTGAGAGTCAACTACTTTTCACAGGCCCACCACTAAGTGTCGCTCGATAGATATGGGTCAGTCAACGTTCGGCCAACTATACCAACTGTCTAGTCTCACAAAAGTATTGATCAAGATGTCAATTGAATGTTAATTAAGTTGTCAATCGAATGTTGATTGCGTGTATTGATCCACACTCAATCACGGATACACATCATCTGGCAAATCTTCAAAATAGTACTTCATTCTTGAGATACTGTATTTTATTTCATGGAACAATCATACTTACTTTCCACTTCCACAGACTCCTGTTATCAGCACAACAACCATGTTAGAGAACAATGATGTTTTGTGCCCAGGTTACATACACTGTATCCAATCTATAACGGTAAATAATATGTGTAACATAAGATATGCCAAACAATCATTTACTGATAAAACTGCAATTTCAGTAGCTGTGAAGGCTGCAAACTGGGAAACTGGGGTATGTTTCAAAGCTGTTACTTTGACTTAACCTACCTACAGTAAACAAATTTCTGCTGAGGTTGAAAGTCTTACAGTTTCAGCTCTACTTAAAATTTACCTTCCACAAGCCACAACTTCTACTGAATATAAGGGTGTATCAACTGATAACTGTATTTACTCAAGCAATAGCACCCTAGAGTAAGTATTCATACATGACCGCAAAAGTAATAATTGGCACCAACTTTGTATAAGCACTGCACACAGAACAAATGCACAGCATTTATGTGAAACACCATTTACCCCTATGCAGCTACTTGACTCAAATAGGGGAAAAAGAGTGAAAGTTACATTTTTAACTGAGGACCAGCCTTTTTATCTTATCATTTTCAAATACAAATAAGAGTTGGTTTTTCTTGACAAAAATACTGCATTTAAATGTCAAAATATTTATTAGGTGCATTGGTGCTTTTTCAGAAATACTAAATGGAAACACAAACTGAAGTGCCATGTGTACACCTTTTTTTTACTATGGTAGTCCACCATGAATATTTTGCGTTGTTTGCAACTAAAAGGTATCCAAGGGGGAAAAAAGGTAGTGTAAAGTGACTGTTTAAATAAAGAAACTATCACAAAAAATTAAAAGAACATTCCTACCCTCTTAAGTAAAAGCAACAGCTTGACTTGTAACCTTACTGGATCTTATAAGATGCAAACATTCAAACAGACATGTAAGCAAGTGAATCTGTCTGAATTTATTACATATAACTATGCAAAAACTCCTTTTATTTGAAAACAAACATGTCTGCAATGCAGTACACAAGGTAGACTTCCTTCCTATTACAAACAAAAGGTGTTTTAATTACGGTCCTTCTTTTCCCAGACCGTAGCAGCATTTGGAGTGAAAAAAAAAACAGGATTAAGCTTTGTACTTTGACCCCCTGATAATAATATTTACTAGCTCAGCCTTGCTAGCCAAGAACAAACTATATAATTTTCAGCAATTTTAAAACGTTACTGCAATTTTTACTATTATCATTTCATGTGACTGACATAAATAGGGTCGAAACTAGTAACCCTAGCTTATAAATGATATTGTAACATGCAACTTTCCTAGTGCACTTGTATTTTTTTTTCACCAACACCTGACAAATACTTCCTTTTACCATGGCCATCACCTGTCCAGCTACTTTCATTGTGTTTGAATGTAAAGCATTAAATGTTTTGCATTTAAATTTTGTAATAGTCACTTCACAATAGAGTTCAGAAGGTTATGTCTCAATGACCCCCAGAAAGTTGTGACCCCTTGAAAGCTGCAAGATAAAATTTGATGACTTTTTTAAAAGTAAAAAGAGCAGGAAAAAACACTCAGGTCTGATTTCCTGAGGCAAGTAGAATTTTCTCTTGGGTGAGTGAAAATACACAGTGGTGCAGCAGACAAGTAAAATCTGCCTCAGTAGTCGTTCAAGTCATGGTGAAAAATGTTAGCTTGATAAATTTATGATAATTTCAGAGCAACTACACAATACAGGGCCACTTTTGAAGGTGCATATATTTAGTGGCTCATTTGGCTCGGCAGTGGATGAAGGATGAGGAATAATCTATATGCGTTAAATACATATACATACATTTTATTGTGTTTTAAAATTAAAAATACAATTATAACATGCCTGCACATAGCTGAGCTAATCTAGGTGGGTCATGTCCTATCCTAGGTCTATATATTTAGTGGCTCATTTGGCTTGGCAGTGGATTAAAAAACGAGGAATAATCTGTTTATGTGTCAAGTCCTAGGCCTATATATTAAGTGGCTTGTTTGGCTCAGCAGTGGATGACAAAGGAGCAAACGAGCCATACAAGCTGGCTCATTTGGTGGATGATTAAAAGTCACCCTGTATTCTGTAGTTCCTGTCAGAAACTATTTCAATTATCAAGACTGCAAGATGATTTGAAAGTATGAATTAATTAAAATCCGAGCATACTTTGTTTGTGTTTCTCCTACGATTGCCATCATATTGGCTCTATGCTAGTAAGTAAAATTTCAATGGTGACAAGTGAAAACTGAAATTTACTGGCCTATTGGGCAAGATTTCAATTTTTTTTCCTACCCTGGTAAATCCCAAGAGCAGTGACCATTCAAAAGTAACAACCCTCTAAAACTTATGACACTGAGTCTATAGTTCATTGTTGCCTGTATAACAGAAATAATGGGAAGAGAAAGGAAGAGAGGGGAGACTGGGAAGGAGGCAATAAGGCACACCTGCTATAGGAGCTCTTTCTTTAAGTTAAAGCCTTATAGCATTCAGATAAGCGTTCTCTTCAAATGAAAGGACAGCCAATGGATGCATACAATCTAGACCTGCCTTGGCAAACAGCTGAAACCAAGGGAATAACAACATACCATCAACAGTGTACCTAGAGTGTCTAACCTAAACCATGCCATCAGAAGAAACAAACTCAATTCCACAGAATATGCAACAATAATATTACTATATTGCTCTCTAATAAAAGGACTTACAAATGGCAAAGGGCTAGGGATTGACTCCATCACAGCCGAGTCATTGAGAGCAAGTTTAGAATTTTCAGCGGAGAAAATGCATTAATTGATGATAAAGATATGGAACCATGAAAGGATCCCTGAGGCTTGGGCTTATTGTTAAACTGGTAAAGAAAGGTAATCTAAGGGAATGCAAGAACTCAAGAGGGATAACATTGCTGTCTGTTGTAGGGAAGATACTAGGTAGGATTATTATAGATCAAATAAGGGGAGGAGTTGACAGACGATTAACGGTCGGAAATGGTGAGAACAGCATTACATGAAGGACAGCATTAGATGGAGGTTAATATCCAAACTTGACGACTTAGATTTCACAGATGATATAGCCTAATTCCCTCTACCAAACAGCAGATTCAGAATAAAACAACAAAGATGGAAGAAGACAGACAAGTGGGGCTTAAGATCAATACAGAAAAGACAAAAATGACGAGGATCAATGCAAGAAACCAAGACAAGACTGTTTTAAAATAAATGGATATTGAGGACATTGATGAGTTCACATGCATACTTGGGAGCGAAAGTGTGTAAAGAAGGAGGTGCAATAAAAGACCTTACGAACAGACTATCCAAAGCAAGAGGTGCATTCATCAGATTGAAGAACATATGGAGTTCCGAGAGACCCAAGACAACCTTGAGATGAACAGTAGAAAAGGAAGGGGAAGAGGCAGGGTAGAGCTCATGGGAGGAAATGAGAATGATCGCAGCAGACCAAGAAAACTGGAGAACTTCTGCAAAAGGCCCTATGTGACACGAGGCACAAGAAGGACAGATGCTAGATGCTAGATGCTCTTACTTATTTTGCTCCCTCTTCTAACACTTTACAGAAGAAACACACCTTAGGTGGATGATAATTTGTGTTTGCCAGTAAACGATGATATATCTGTGTAAAGCCAACACTATTATGCAGAGATGTACACCCTCGTTTCTGACTGATGAATGTATTGACAGTTGACATGATCGGATTACTTGGAAATTGGCCACATAATGCAAATCCTGCTTCTTGTCACATTTTCACCTCCCTTTCCCTTCCCTGTTCATAATTGCTGCACAGGCTAATTTACTGAAATGACACTCTGTATACATGCAGCTTCTTAATTATGTAGTAAATAATGTAAACAAAGTAGGAACGCAGAATACAAAGAACTGTTTCACAGAATTTTGATTGCAAAAAGTGTTGTCCACCATCATTCTGTTATTTAAGTAGATTGGCCCATAAAAAAGACAGTTCATGTACAGTACTAGCTGCCCTAAAGTAGCAGTCACAAAAGGATGGGTAATAAAAAGTGGATAGATAAAAAGTACGTAACACACGTCAGCATTTTACAGAGAGGGCACGTGAACCATCAACATTTGACGTTTTTTGTACCTTTTTTTAGTGACTATGGGACGAAGGTGCATCAAATTAAGAAGAGTATTTAGCGTTTTTACACCGGAAATTGCTAATCTGGTACATTTACATAAAGACCCTTCATTCTAAAGTCACCAAAAAACATGTACAAAAAAGGCAAGGGGTGCATGGTTTAAGTGTCCTTCCTGTAAATACCAGCTCCGATTTGTACATGCATGGTTGAGAAGTGGCTTAATTAGAATGTGCAGTAAGAATCTAAGAGTTGGAAGTTTAATAGATTTAAATCCATGCTCTTCATTCCAGGAAGCATGGCTAGGTTCCATAAGACTTGGAGGGGAGTTCTTATGATATCAACACGTGGTGCTCTATTTCTTTCAGATTTAGCTCACACTGCCAGTCACCATGTCATATGGTTACCATCAGAAGAGAGGGAAGCTAATATATCTGAATTTTATACAGGAGAATAGAAAACCATTTTTTGGCAGATTGTTCATGTACAGCAGGTACCTGTACTTTAGGAAGGTACATGGCCAAAACTATCTGGGAAGTGAGGGCAACATGTGCAATCTGAAGACTTTGTTATGTCTGAATTGAAGTAATAACGACAGTGGTCTTCATTAAATAACTTAATCAATAATTCAATATGACGGCACCGTACATACTACAGTTATATTTTGAATTTAACTCCCATGGAGCACTTTTTCATGGAAAAACTCTGGTTTTCTTCAAGAGAGCAAAATGCTTGCCAAATGTGAAAATTCCTTTAGAAAACTTGTATGAATACTGGCTCAAGGAAAGGAAATAATTTATGATATTGCAGACGAGAACGTCAAGTGAGCTTGTATTTGTGCCTCATTCCATGCATGATAATTCTCTTCAAATCACGACAAAATCGAAAGCCACAGTTTCATTATCATACGTGATTGTAAACCTCCACCGAAACCTGACATGTGAAACCGAAAATCTGTAGATACCAGAAGACGAGAAACATCAGGCGGAAAACGCCGTCACGTACTTTTAGAAGACGTCGCATAATATGGTGAACCACAACACTACTTTTCATTCAAAACGTTTTAATCCGCAGCAAATTCTACTTCGCTTTTGAAACTGCTGATAAAATAAAGTCATTGTTTGCTTATCAGGATCGCTGCATCTCTAAATTGAACTTAAAAAGTAATCACCGGGTTGTCCTTTTTCTGACATCCAATTTAGTTATTCGCTGCTGCATCAAAATCTCAACATAGGCTTATTCTTAGGTCAATTAAAGCTAGCTCGTTCAAAGATCTTAGCCATATCTAGCTTAACTCAAAGTGTTAAGATTACCTGAGAAGAAATCTGTAAATGGACGACCCAAAATCCAGTGCATTAGTTCATTTACACATCAATCGCGAAGTGTCTGCCGACAAATAAATATACACAACTTGAACGGATGGCCAGAATGACTCATTGCAATTGGATGATAAAAATAGGAAATTGGTTAATAAGCTAACTCTTCGATCCTTGCACTTTGCGATAGATATGAGACACTTTGCACTCCGTTGCATCCCATTTTTTATATTTTTCTCTACTGCAAAAAAAATTCGGAATAATACTTATATCAAGGAAAAAATTCTACTAAGCCTTACCCGAGGAAGAAACCCTCTCAGGACCCTTGTCAGCGTTCTCAACAGCTGTGCAGCTCCTTGGATCCCAGGACTCCCCGACCCTGTCATACCGCGCCTTTTCAGGGCTAAAACCGCTGAACAGCTTTGTCGGTCAATACAAGGAGGGGCCTTGTCCACATCATTTGCCGGTTTGTTATGGTCCGACGAAAAAATGTCAAAAGAATGAACTTCTTGCTCAGAATTGATCACGGCCGAAGCCAGACTAAAATTCTTACCAAGTAACTACCACAAAAAGCTTCTTTTACTTTTATTTTTTTTTAATAAGCTTACATAGCCTCTTACGCGAAATTAAATAAATTTAAACGTTTTACCGAGGCAAGTGCCTTGGTTCGCTTGTTACTAGTTACGGTCTTGCTGATAATTTCAGTTAAAAGTCAAATTCTCCAAATGAACTGGCGCAGAAACATGCCGAGACAGCTCACCTTTTGATGATACATTGTTTATTTTCTTTTATCAAGTACACCTGATTTTCATAAATTTATTTTTCTTATTACAGTTACGTGATTCAGTAAAGTGATATCGCACGACATGTGGTACCAGACAGATGAATATCACTGATATTTGCCCGCAGGTTGCAGAAATTCAATCCCTCTCCCGTTGATGTGGAAGATTAGACGTCTGACAAACACTGACGTAAACAAAGCTTTGATGGCCGTTTTACAATGCAGCCCACGCAACTTCAGGAATTACAATCACTTTTCAGACTAAAAATCACTTTTTCCGCCTCTGATGATTACGGACAACTTCAAGAACTTACAAAGGCTACTTGCGTTTTCTCGAGTATAAAGCAATTTTTGGAACTGATGCCAAACGGTTGGGTTCAAACGCCGAGGAGGAGTCCCATATATAAAAAAAAGACGTGGGTGCTCGTCGGAAATTTTGAAAAGAACCCTAGCCTGCGTAGCGAGCGTTTCTGTGGGGTTCGGGAGCAAAGAATTACAGCGCGAAAAATGGAGCGAGTGAAAGAGGGGGGAGGGGGAGGGGAGGGTTTCCTTCCTTCCCCTCTCCCAACCCCC